ATACATACATACATACATACATACATACAGAGAGAGAGAGAGAGAGAGAGAGAGAGAGAGAGAGAGAGAGAGAGAGAGAGAGAGAAGGAGGAGGAGAAGAAGAAGAAGCAGCAGCAGCTATGGCTACTCCACCACTGGAGGCTTTTAAGAAGAGACTGGACAGCTATTTGTCTAAAATGGTATAGGGCAGGGATGGCGAACCAAGCGTGCCACAGGTGGCATGTGGAGCCATTTGTCTGGGCACACGAGGTGTGGCCGTGTGAGTTCCAGCGTGCATGCGCACACTGGCCAGCTGACTTTGGCCTTCTTTTGAGGCCATTTTTCGCCCTATGGGCAAACCGGAAGTTCCCTGAAGACTCCGGAGGGCAAAAAACAGCCCTATGAGCAAACCAGAAATCACTTCCATTCCTGAACTTCCGGTTTGCCCATAGGGCCCATTTTTTGTGCTCCGGAGGATTCAGGGAAGTTCCTAAAGCCTCTGGAGGGCCTCCAGGAGGGAAGGCTGTTTTCGCCCTCCCCAGGCTCCTAGAAAGCCTCTGGAGCCTGGGGAGGGTGAAAAAAGAGCACCAAAAGCGGAGGGAGGGGGAGTGCTGGTCACGTGCACATGCACGTAGAGGGGGAAAGCATGGACATATGTGGCAGGCCTGCGCAGAACCCCCCTGAACTCCCCCTGCTTTTGGCATCCGAGCCAAAAAATGGTTCACCATCACTGGTATAGGGCCTCCTGCTTGAGCAGGGGGTTGGACTAGAAGACCTCCAAGATCCTTCTCAACTCTATTATTCTGTTATTCAGCAGGACACAAAGACCTCCTCCCTCTGTCTCCCTTCTTGCTCTGCAACTCATAACTGAAGGACTGAGTCCTCCTCCAAGTATTTATGCAATCCTTTCTAAAGCTGTCCAAATTAATGGCCCTCGATATGTGCGGTGATTATGAATTCCACAGAGTAATTGTGTGCTCCGTGAAGAAGCACCGTGCGTGTTCAATGTCCTTCCCATCAGCTTCATTAAATAGTCTTCGTCTCCGGAGAACAATTTCTCCCTGCCCATTTTCTCCAGGCTGTGCATGTTTTTATACATCTCACACATCAGCTGCCTTTTTTTGCAGGCTGTTTCCTCCCCTCCCCTCCCCCCAAGGCTCCCCTTCTCACATGGGCAGCATTTGAGCCCTTTGTATATTTTGATGATTTGCTATAAAATAAGAAACAAAGTTGACCAACATGACCTTTTGTCAGCCCTGAAGCTATCCTGACCAAAGCCATTTTGTCCACTTCAGTGCTGCCACACTGGAGTTGAGGATCAGGGAGGGGGGATTTGAGACAGAGGGATTTTTGTAGCCAAAACAAAATACTTTCTCTTGCAAACCAAGGGCATTCTCACATCTGGTCGGAAGAAGGAGGAGTGATGCCACTCAGTTGTCATGGTTATTGGACCATGTGACCAGTGTTGAGATTCAAAAATTTTTTACTAACAGTTCTGTGGGCGTGGCTTGATGGGCATGGCTTGGTGGGTGTGGCTTGGTGGGNGTCCCTATTTTTCTACTTGCATTTTTATGTGCTTTCGAACTGCTAGGTTGGCAGAAGCTGGGACAAGTAACGGGAGCTCACTCCGTTACGCGGCGACAAGCTCAGCATCTTAGCCACCGAGCCACTGCCTCCCTCAGTGCGTGCGTGTGTGTTTGTGTGTGTGTTTCTACCCCTTTCTAGCTTGGCAGAGAGCCTGATCTTTTCTTCTTCCCCCTCTCCTCTTGCTTGGGCCTTCTCAGACAATTTGGCTCCAAGAATTCCATTCAGAGCCTCTCCCTGATCAAGACGGCTTTTTTCCTCATGATTAAGGGTAGGCAGGCAGGGAGAAAAATGGCAGGCCTTGGACAAAAGACTAGCCTGGTTTTTGTTTCTCGTCTCTTTTCAGACCCACTCTAAAAGCACACAAAGGAAGCCTTGTTGGTGATCACAGACTCTATCTTTCCCGAAAGGGGGTTAATTGCCTGGGCTAGTCTCCTTGAAGGATGGTTTTCCCTTAACGTCCTCTAGTTCCCTTGCAGAATCTGACAGCTGAAATATTTCACCCACAACAACGCTCGTAATTTTACTACAGGTAGTCCTCAACTTACGACCACAATTACCGTATTTTTCAGAGTACAAGACACACTTTCCCACCTCAAAAAAGTGGGTGGAAATGTCTGTGAGTCTTATACTCTGAATATTGCGGCAGCAGGGGGGGAGGGGGGTAGATGCGTTGGACGGGTCACGGTGGACGGGCTACAGTGGCGAATGGGCCACAGCGAATGGGCTGTGGTGGCAGACAGAACGTGGAGAACGGGCCACAGTGAACAGGCCATGGGGAATGGGCAGCAGCGGCAGCGAATGGGCGGAGGCAACGGTGAATGGGCCTCATCTGGCCAGATGAATACCAGATGGATGCTGGGAGGAAGAAGCAGATTTCCCCCCCTTGCTTTCCTCCCCAAAAACTAGGTGTGTCTTATAGTCCGGAGCATCTTATAGTCTGAAAACTACAGTAAGCCCAAAATTTCCATTGCTAAGCAAGACAATGGTTAAATGAGTTGCCCCATTTTATAACCTTTCCTGGCACAATGGTTAAGTGAATCACTGCAGACTGTAAGTTAGCAACATGGTTGTTAAGTGAATCTGGTTTACCCTTTGACTTTGCTTGTCAGAAGGCCGCAAAAGGCAATTTACATGACCCCAAGACACTGCAACCGTCATAAATATGAGCCAGTTGCCAAGCATCTGAATTTTGATCCTGTGACCATGGGGAAGCTGCAATGCTCGTAAGTATGAAAGACGGTCATAAGTTACTTTTTTCATGCCATTTTAACTTCACATGGTCACTAAACAAATGGTTATAAGTCAAGGACTACCTGTACTAAAAAGCCCGGTGCTGGGATCTATTGGATGATGCCTGGACAGGAAATACCTGCTCTCTGCTCTAGATGTCTCTGCAGGGGATCTGAAATTTACAGGGCAAGGATAAAGCCCCACTTGTTAGCACTTGTTAGGATTTCGGCAAGATTCATTAGCACTGTGTGCCTTGCTTAAATAGGATCTGTGCCAAGCAGGTAGTTTAATATCTCTTTACTTGTGAATAGGTAAAGAGAAGAACCCCATGGATGCAAAGTGAGGGGACCCCTCAAAAAATAGGAAATCAGTTTATATACAGTTCAAACATATTGGGTTTGGAATATAGAGAACGGCCATGTGTTACTTCAAAGAACTAGAAACATTAATCAAAAACATTCCTAGTTACTGAGAACATTACTCCAAGAGGGCTCCCTTCTCTTGTTCCCATCTCACTCTTTGGAATATCCTCCCCTTGGAAATATGGATGGTGTGAACCTTGCTGACTTTGACAAGTATGTTGAAACAATTCTGTCTGAATTTGCTTTGGGCCATAGGTTTTTCCCTAGGAGCCTCATTATGGGGTCTTCCTTGCATTCTTGTTTTCTTGTGTCAGCCTTTATGATATGGTGACCCACTCAAGGTCCACAATAATAAATACTGGCAACAAATAAATAATCCAGCTTTAGGGTTGAGAAAGTATATTGAACTATAAAGTAATCAGAGTGAACTAAGTTTACCTAACATATTAAACAAAAACTAACCAAGCAGGCTGAGTAGGTTATATAACATCAGTGGTGAGGCTTAGTAACTCACCCAGCTAAACCTGTCATGCCAGGGAATGTAGAAAAAGGGGAAAGAAGAAAAGAAGGAAAGAGAAAGAGAGAAAGAAGGGAGGGGGGGAGGAAAGAAGGAAAGAAGGAAGGAAAGAAGGAAAGAAGGAAGGCAGGAAGGCGGGAAGGAAGGAAAGAAGGGAGGAAAGAAAGAAGGAACGATAGAAGGAAGGAAGGAAAGAAGGGAGGGAGGTCATTGCATGCCTTGGAGAACACATACCATGATGGCGAGCAGAATGTTCTGGAACTCGTTTCGGAACCCCAAGGTATAAGTGCAGAACAAGGCAAAGTTTCCTTCCAACAGCTGGGAAGAAACAAGACATGTCAGTGAAATAAAGCAGGCGCATTTTGGCAAGGAAAAAAAAAAGATGGCAATTGGAAAGAAAAAAACCCCACCTTACCAGAATAAAGTTTCTCTAGTCTAGGACAATGTTTCTCCACTTTGGCAATGTTAAGACGTGTGGACTTCAACTCCCAGAACTCCCCAGCCCAAGAATTCTGTTGAGTTGTAGTCCACACACATCTGAACATTGCCAAGGTTGAGAAGGCCCTGCTTTGTAAAACTCCAGAAGCGAAGACTTGAAAGAATACAGGTCTTTGTTTTGACTACTTAAGGGGAAGGGAAGCAGAGAAGAGAAGGCTACTGGAGAATTGCCATGGAGAAGGAGAAAGGTAGAGGAACAAATATTCAATACATTCCCGGAGGGCTGAAGGGTGGGAAGTGGAATTCATTGTCCATTATTGAATTGGAAGCAAACAACAGCGCAGGAGGATTCAGCTGAGCAGTGACCTCAGCATCACGCCTGATATTTGGGCGGTACATTCTCCAAAACGTTGAGGCCGTGGGCATCCTTAGGGAGCATGCAGATTCAAGAACATGGAGGGTCCTTCAACTGTGCCCAGACAATCAAAACAGGCTTATCAACAAGAGCTTAGACCAGCGAGGGCTAATCTTTTTGTCGTCGTGTGCCGAAAGCGTGTGTATGCAATATGTACACACACACACGTGACCGACAGCCCTTCCGTGACCCCCCATGCGACCCGCGACCCCCACTCAGGCACGTGCGACTCTCCTTTACCCCATTTTGGGTCTAGTAGGCCTCCAAGCAGCCTCCTAGGAACAAAAATGGGCTGCGGGGGGACCGTGCCGCACTCCCCCTGCATGCGCCCTGCCCCCCACGCATGCATGGCAAAGACCCGAAAATCAGCTGGCCGGCGGGAAGCACATGTGGCTGAGGAACTCTGGGAGTTGAAGTCCACAAGTCTTAAAGTGGCTAAGGTTGGAGACTCCTGCTCTAGAAAATGTATTTCAGGCAAGTTCAAGGAATGGGTAAAGTTTTTGCTCTGGTTTAGAAAAAATCATGGTTGGGAATGTGATGAAGAAGTCTAGACGTTGTTATGGGAAAGACTGGAAAGTTCTCTCACCATGAAAGCGAGGGAGGTGAACAGGAAAGCAGCAATCAGCTTGATGTAGGGTCCATGTTTCATAACCAGCTTCAAACCCTCGAAGAAGGAAACCGGCTCAGCCAACTGAAGTTCAGAAGACTCTGTGGAGCAAAGCACAAGGAGCGGGTGACTCTCTTCTCTTCCATGGATGTTCTGGATCATGGGTGTTTTGCTACCATATTTCTAGAGCATACCATTTGTTATTTTTCATATATAATTCCATAATTGTTCTTGTTTGCATAATTCATCCTAATTTTGACAGCCAGAGGATGAGGAAGAGGAAAAGGAGGAGGAAGAGGAGGAGGAAGATGTCCAAGAATGTTTAAAAGGGCAATTGCCTTGATTGAGGCCTTCCTCCGTTGTAGGAAAGAGCTCAAATCAGCAGTTTCGTGGGAGAGTCATCTTTTCATAAATCTAGAGTGAAACGTAAAAACTTTCACTCTTTTCCCTAATCAGAAACTTAAACTGAAGTATGATGCAAACACCCCTTAGGCAACAGGGCTGGTCAAAGGTTTTCCCTTCATGGCATTCGTTCAGTGTGCATTGTCTTCAGCCCATCCCGTTCTCTACTGCAGGGGGGGGGGTAGGCGGGATGTTGGGTGCTTTCCAACCTTTGTATTGGTGCAAAAGGCAGTAATTGGCCTGCTGCCAATTACCTCCAACAGACCTATTAGATCCCGCAGATTAGGCCTCCTCCGAATTCCATCTACTGGCCAATGCTGATTGGCTACCACCCGGAGGAGGGCCTTCTCTGTGGCTGCTCCGACCCTCTGGAACGAACTCCCCG